ATGTTGGATGTGTACTGATTGATATTTTTTTGTCTTAGATATATGATGTTTTATTAGTTGTTAAGGGCTTTGAACTAGCTGTCAGTTACTGCTAGTACTCTCAGGTATGTACTTTTTTGTTGTGAGGGATGTAAAAGTACCCTCCAACGTCTGGTCTGTGTTTTGTAAGATGTTTTTCTGCGTTGAATTGATCTGATGAGTTGAGAGCGTTTTTCAACTGATATAGTTCTCGCCAGCGACGAAACTCGCGGAAAGCATAGATGGATGCGTCAACAATTTTTAAGTTTTCTGCTTAAGTCAGTTTGATATGAACTACTTGTGTTGATCAATAATACAATATAAATTTGCATTACCATCAGTACATTTCAGGTTGACGGCTATTTAGAGGCTAAGTCCCCTAGGTCAAGCTCTAGCGACTTTCAATTTTCAGTGTTAAGTTTTCTGCTCAGTTCAGTTTGATAGGAACTACTTGAAAATCAATGATATTTTCAATAAAGTTTTTATTTTAAAGAGTTGTTGAAGACCCTTTACTCTATATCATGGTCCAGTGTTTTTAAATTGTTGCAATGTTGCTGTCCATCATTATGTTTTTTTTTTCCAATTTTCTGCATACAGGCGAGATAAATCTTTGTGTCAACAGTTTGTTACAGTTTGTTCATATGTTGTGATGTTACACCACTGTCCTAGGTTATGTGAGGGTTAACGCTTTCAAACATTTTTAACACTGCCAAATTCTTAATATGCCTGTCCCAAGTCAGGGGCCTGTAGTTCAGTGGCTGTCGTTGGTTCATGACTGTAATTTTTCATAAATTTGTTTTGTAATCAATTAGAGTGTTAGTTTTTTCAATTGAATTGTTTCATATTTTTCATGTCAGGGCCTTTTATAGCCGACTATACAATATGGTTTTTATCATTTCTGAAGGCCGTACTGTTGCCTATATCTGCTTACATCCACTACATTTGAACTTTAGTAGATAGTTGTCTCGTTGGCAATCATACCACATCTCCCTATCATTTTGATATGGAAATTTGATAGTAAGAGCCGGGTTTAATGGATTATGGACACATATCTCATGGAAAATGTACAAAATATTTCAAAATGCCTGAACTAAAAACTTTAAATCTTTATATTGAATTTTTTAATAGATTTGAATTTTTTTTAAACAGTTTTACTTTTTTAACTTGTAATATGCATTTTGTCAAATATGTTATGTCACAAAAGAGATGAAATGAACAACATATTTATTATTCTTGGAAATATTTTATAATTTTTTTTAGGAACTATAGTATATGTATGGTAATGAAATAACATTATCACATACTAAGAGTAAATAACATTTTTACAGATTTTTACATTAAGAAATTAGCTTTAAATTTACGTGAATTCCATATTTTCCGAATTGGTGTTTAACGGGCTTTTATGAAAAATATATCACCAGCTTCCACCTATTATCACATGCCTTTCCGTATCTTTATTGTATGGCATTCCGGCGTTATTCAGCAAATTCCGGAAATTACACCTCAATGGTACGTTTTCAGTGAAAAACATACAAAAGTAGGGTGCAATTATAATAATGTAATAATAATACATTTAACTGCACATACTTTTCAACAGATAAACAACTAAAAACAAGTAAATAAATACATAGCAGGGATCTCAATATGTGGATACAGAGAATATTTTATTTTACCAGGTTCAAAGATGTGTCGTCCCTTAACTAGAGTGATGTTAACCAAGGTGGTGCCACTGACTTTTTGAACATTCAAGGACTAAGAGATTTAATTCTTTCCCTTCCTGCTCATTCTGCTGATGCAGAAAGGGTTCTTTTTTAGATTAAACTTGTTAAGAATGATTGGTGATCAAAATTGGGTCCAACTGTTTTGTCAGATCTATTATTCATAATGTTTCATACTTAAGATATAGCATCATTTGATCCGGTCCCGACTATTGAAATGTGGAACATTTTTGGACAGCGCTCCCGACGACCCAGTCAGGCACCCTATGGTCGTCGTGAGAATTGTGATGATGTGGAAGACAATGTTGACATTTTTTTCTGTCCTTGATCCTGATTTTGATAAAGAAAATCATTGAGATTATCAAAGCCTTTATCAAAATCCGGATCAAGACTCTCTCTTTTTTTGTCTAACATATGTAAAAGAAAGCATGTAAATAAAAGTAAACATCTATCATTTATATTAGTGTTTGTCAAATGAATGTCATTTTTGCAGGACCAGTAGATTTGGAGCCGGACCAGTAGATATTTCAGTCCACTGGTCCGGCTGGCCAGTACACAAAAAAACTTAAATTCGACCCCTGAGTGTATGCACCCTCTGGCCCTTAATCATCAACTGCTGTAATGCTAGCTAGTTTGTAACATAACAGCATGGTGAGTGTATTGTGCTTTTAGCATATGGGTCACTAACTAGTCATTTCAAGCACTTTGAAAACAGGGGGTTCTAGCTAGCTCTACAACTTTACGATATATCATTGGCTACTATGAAATATTTTACTCTTGGATTACTGTATTATAAGAACTGGGGTTCTGGTTATTTCGAACTATTCTAAAAACAAAAACTTCAGATCAAGTCTTCAAAAAGATAGCATTTGAAAAATAATGCAATTAACATTATTCAGGAAATATATTTTGTTGTTTAAGCATTATATATAGATACATTACTGACATGATAATATACAACATTACTTCTAACATAAAAATAAATCAGTAACCTTTAAGTGGTTTTCAAATCTGTATAATAAGTTCGAATATCAATTGTGACCCCAAATTTTATTGCAATTAACTTAAATACACCCATGGTTTCATTAAGCTTTAAAAAATTGAAAACAACACGTTTAATAATTTCATGCGTCCGAAGCGCTTTTCTGGATTTACCTTCACCAGTAACGCTCAAAGCAAAACATTTGAAATCCAAGGGGTGGATAAGTACCGAAAGAGCTATATGAAACAGTTGAAGAGCTATATGACAAAAATACCTAAAACAAATAGCCACATTCATCTAAGGTCAACTTTGCCTGAAGGAGTTGAAACCTTAGTTTCTTTATAATTTCAAAATTTATAAACAGACAATTTTAGAAAGGTTTGTTATAAATCATGTCAGTAGCGAAGTACTGACTACTGAGCTGATGATACCCTCGGGGACTGATAGTCCACCAGCAGAGGTATCGACCCAGTGATGTAAAAAATTTAAATTATTCAATTTGATACCAGATCATGGAACTACATTCATTACATCTTACTGCACAAACAATGTTTTTTTTTAATTTAAAAAAAAAAAATATATATATAATGGAAATAATTAACTAACTTAAAAAAATTATTGCAGATTATTGTAATATAAATAATGTCATGTAATAGACCTACAAATACATATATGTTTTGAAGAGTTATTAAATCTATTGCTTTGACTTTTTGAAAGACATTTAATGCAAATATAACTTTAAACAACAACAAGTAATAATATGAGTTTGAAAATACTTTAAATCATTGAATAATTGAAGAACCTTTTAAAATTGGTTGGTTTTTTATAAGGTGTATAATTTTGAACATCTGTTAAACCATGAAAAATGAGCAAAATTCAATTCTACAACATTTTCCTTTATAAAAAAGTTATCACAATGGAAACATACATATCACAGTAAGAATAATTCAATTTATAAATAAAACTGGTGTTAAATAGAAATGTACAAGTAGCAAAAATTATTCCAGAATTATGATTTTGTGTCCAAAAACCTCAATTTGTAACAATTAAAGACCAATTCATGATGGCAAACCTGAAAATATATCACTGTTAAATCCTAATTGTTTGTGTTAAGTTTTGTACACAACAAATTCAAATTCATATGTAAACCTTTATATTGTTACGACTTTTTCGGGCTAATCAGTAAACACTCACTTCTATTTTCGCGTCCGTCGTTTACTGTTAGCCAACGTGTATATAAAGACATTTGATAAACATTACATACTTTTATTGTTATTGTATGTAAATATTGTTTGTAAGGTATCTGGAAGTAAAGATATAAGAGTTCGTCTTCACTGTTTGACCAGGGGGATCCCTTGACTGAACGACAGTTCCCATCTTCTGTTTACCCTTATTTCACACGTTCCCACTTTATTACCTTGCTAGTTTATTTGCGTAAGGCCCGAATATTGTAACTGGGGCCCATACATATAAAAAGTAAGCTTAGTTAAGTCCAGTTTGTCCATTTCCCGACATTGTCAACATTCGCAATCGCCGCCATTTGCATCATCAAGTTTATTGACGTCGTGACCTAATGACCTGAGATCAGCATCCAATCAGTTTTACGTAATTTGCCACCAATCACCATAGGGGCACGAGACTTTGATGGGACAGATGTATAAAAGCGAGTGCACATCAGTCTTCAAGGAGACTGCAGCCCGCTACCAGGGCGTTCACTCCTGATACCAAGAAAATTACAAGAGCAAACCAAATACGCCGCAGTCGATGCAATCCGTAAAATACATATACCTTTGATATCGTATACATCCCCGTTGTATAAATGGACCAAACCATGAATGACCTAGATGTTTTACTACGCTTACTATGATGTTGACAAACAATTAACGTACCAAAAAGGGGGGTCTCTGTATATTTTATTACCTAAGTGATTTGGTGGGTTTTCATGTAATTTATACTTGTAATAGTATTAGATATTTTGTATTTATAATAAATTGTAAAGCTTATTTCAATCTTGTTATCTATTTTACATGTAATAAGTAAGTCAATGTTAATGAGTTTCTGAACTACCATATTTAGACCAGTGCCTTAACTGTTTTTCCTGCTACGTTACCAGTGTCTTGACCATTTTGCCAGCTACGCTACTAGTAATAAATAGTTTGCAACTCAAAACCAGGGTTGACAGATATTAGAATTACCAATAAAATAACACATAGTGTAAACCTGAATAATAAAATTTAATGATCTAATAATTAAATTGATTTATTGCATTAACAATTCATTTATTTGTTTATTGTGTTTCAAATGTACGTCAGTCCATTATTTACGTTTTGCCATTTAAATACTTACAACCATATATTTAAACATACGAAAGAATATGCTCTGAAGCGCCTCGTGGACTTTGGTCATATATAAACACGTGTTCCCGCTAAATTTTCATTCCACGAGTATTTTTCAACAAGATTACACAAGGATAGGACCAGAGCGTTAATAAGATAAGTTGATTTAGTTTATTCATTATACTTTAAATACGTTTACTTTTATGCATTTTAATTCACTTTAATAATTTGGTTTACATTTAAAGAGCAAACTTTTTACCTGTAACGATAAAGTAAAACAGGTAACTTTAAATTTAACACGTGTTTGCACGGGGTCGTAATTTTGTTTCCCTTTACTTTCACAATTAAATACATGAATTGTTTTTTGTCAATTCAATATTACATTTAAATATATGCTTATTTATTACCGTTTAATTTCATTGACTTCTGGTTGTTGCATTTAATTCACAGTTCTTAAACATGGTATTTTTATCGGTAAGTTTTTGTTTTTAATTTACCATTGTAGCATTGAATATTCTCATTTAATTAGCTATGAAATGCATGTGTAGGCTTGCTTACGATTATACGCTTAGTTATTTTAATTCGCGTACTTTATCTACCTGTATTGATTTAAATTCACACTTACATTATACCGGTTATTCAAGTTACGGAACGCCCGATTATTACAAATGTAACGGCATTTATTTAATTAAAAAATCAACTGCTGTTCAGTTTGCTGGATATTATTATACATACATGTATATAGCCGTCTTTAAATTTGATATAATAAATTGACACTTATATTATACCTGTTATCAAGTTATGGAACGCCCAATTATTACAAATATATTGCATTTACAACTGCGGGTTATAATACACTTCTAGCTGTCTTAAGATGCGTACTTATATACACATTTATATTTGTATATATATTTCAAGTACGGAACAGTTGTTAAATTCACGATTTTATCTATATGCAGTCGAAGCATCAATGTAATGTTTTATAAATTAGAACATCTTTATATATTTATAAACATTATACTAATATTGATTTCATTTATAAAATGCCTAGGAGAAGGAATGAATATCGTCGGAGATTACGGCCCAGGGTAAACGACGTTAGGGTTCAACAACCTGCTCATGAAGAACCTGCACCCGAAGAGGAACCCGTCCCTGAGGAAGTTGTCCAAGTGGTCAACAGAGGTAGACGTGGAAATAGAAGGCGTGTTGCGCCAGAGCATCAGCAAGCAGATCAACCTGTGGAGCCCAATAATCAGCCTCCACCTCAGAAACAGCTGAAAACTACAGCAGTTCAGGCTGGACCGGGTAATACTTTAAATAATACTGGTCCCTTGTTAATGCCATGGGCTAATGAAATTGATATAATTGTTTCTCAACAAATAAAAGAAAAAATTTGGAATTTTGAATATGTTGATTTTGGTATTCTACTCAAACAAAATAGTCAATATTATAGCAATCACTACTGGACGAAAAAACAACTGTCCATACCAGTAACAGTGGTTCTAAGACTGATAATGTTTGTTAAAGTTGTAACAGTTGTTAAATTTCACTGTTGCAGTTATTTTGTAACTGTCCCAACTTTAAAAGTGTTTGTCTATAACATAAATCGACTGCAACAACGCTAGAAATAACTGTCACAGTCATTAAAGGACTGATACAACTATTTCAAAGTTGTAACAGTTGATTTACAACTGTCCCAACTCGAAAAACGTTGTAACAGTCATAAATAAACTGATTAAACGCCTAAAAGGTTGTCACAGTCATAATAAGACTGCTGCAACCATTTGAAAATTGTAACAGTTATTAAAAACTGTCCCAACACGGAAAACGTTGAAACAGTCTTAAAAAAACTGTTTAAACGCTGAAAAGGTTGTAACAGTAAATATATGATTGCTACAACCATTACATAGTCATAGCTAATTTATAAGTGTAGCAACTTCCAAACATTGATCGTCATTAAGACTTAAAAGTCACGGATACAAAATTTATGACAGTCAGGGATAGGTTAAATTATTTGTAAAACAATTTTACCGTGTGCAATATAAGGTTGTGACAAAGAGATACAACTATCACACCCATTTAATACATTAATTTTAGAAAGAAATTGATTTTAAAAAAAATAGTATTTTGAAATATTTGCCGCTGAACATTTTGGTATTCCCCGCTTTTTAGTGAATGTGCTAAATTTATATAATTATTTAACACTCCCTCGCCTCTCATCTCATCGAACAAAATCGGAACCAGCACTAAATACCTGCAATTTCACACAGGACGGTTTTATTCGCATTTAAAACTACTAACAGATAAATCGAAAAAGTTTACCCAATATATTTGTAACCAAATGTATCTTTAACTGTATTTACAGTTGACAATTTTCAATATTATCTAAATAAAAACTTTTTTATTTTTTTTTCAATTAGTTAGGTGTGAAATCATTCATGCATACAAGGTTGTCTTCAATACCCGTAGTTTTACGAATCACATTACTTCATAATAACGGTTAATATACATAATATACTGTAAACCTAGCGGGGAACTCCGAATATACACACTTGTCAAACTTATCCCCATATTAAACTGCTTATTTCACACACTTATTTTGAGCTTTTATTTGGGGCTACTTTTTTTTTCTTGCAAAATTATAAATATTACCGTTACGGTATTAACCATTTTGATTTCTATACATATAAAAAAAAAATCAAAGCTATGAACATTTAACGCATCTTTTGCAGCTATGGAAAAACAAAAATACTCTTAAATCTATCTAAATTTAATTTATTTTACTATATTTTATTTTTGAATAATTCAATATTGACTGGACTTTGTACTGTATATTGTAACGAGTGGTCTATTTGAAGTTCAAATGTCCTTGATAAATAGCACTTCGGCATTCATTCATGATTGATTGAGGTAAAAATATTATCACTCGAGATCATTCATATTTTCGCCGGATTTTTTTCTCAACCAATTTACCAAAAGTATTTATGAATAGATGGACGTACTATACAAGACTGACAAAATAACTAGCGCCAGTGAAAGTTGAAATGTTCAAAACAAGAAAAATCGCATTGTTTCAGACAAGGAAATCAAATCTTCTTTTATTTATTCACATAACGGTTTAGAACTTGTTGTATTCTTTAGACTCTGGTCTTGTTGAATTCTACAGACTGACGTCAGATTCTCTTTTGTGGTTTCAGTTGATCAGATGTCGCACTAACCATGCTAACGTTTATCCAAAATATTTTCCAATTTCCATTTTTTAAATTCAATTTATTTAATCATATAAATGCTTGTATATATTATTCAACCAGTAAAGAAAAACAATTTTACTAGATGTAATGGAAATTTTAAAATGGTCACATTCATAAATTAGGCAAATGGGTCCATTATTCTAATTATATTCATCTTCAATCAGTGATGAAAACAGTACATATGTATTATCAGCAGAACTTATTTGGGCACCCCTTAGAAAAAAAAAAATCATTGATTAATTAAATCATACATTTTTTTTTACTCAGTTTAAAAGAAGGGTGGACTGAAAATAAGTATTCTGGCCCTGGTCTGAGTGAAAATATATAATCTGGCTGCCTATATGTTGGAAATTAATATTCTGACCTTATCAAATTTGCCAATTCAGTTGCTAACTTCTATGTCATTGGATTTTCGGTGAAAAATTGTCTAATTTGTAAACAAGTACCACATCATTTTATTTATTGAATAATGATCTTATTAACAAAATTGCAGTTCTATTTAACATTGTTGTTTCGATATTTTAAGCAATTATGATTTCAGCCGTGTATCACCATCAATGATCACTTGTTCTCCAATGGATGAATCTGTCGTAAAGTTTTCACGTGTTTAGACGTATAGATATATGTTGACCTCTAGATTGATATTTAGTTGTTGTTGGGTTGATGTCATATAGTAGCAGTTTACTCAATTTCACCAGTTTATTATCATATGTTTTAGTCTATTTGTCATGTTTGTATTACATAGGCTTTTCACACCATGCTATATATATGTATACTGTACAATCATAGTCGATACATTAATTCTAATTGTACAGCCACAAAAAAAAATGTCCAATTCTCCTCCCTTTCTTGAAACCACTTTTGTATATTTTTTTTTTCATTTCAGGTTGGTATTTTTCTTTTGCTAGAAGTTTTAAAATCATAGCAAATTAAAACCCCCAAAATATGCTTCCACACATAAATATTATAATTAAATTATAACAAACCTGACAACAGCTCACTAATAGTGCATAATACATGTTTGCCTTTGTAATGCTTATTGTGTATATTGAAAATGTTGCTAAACATCTTGGGATATATATTTAGAAGGCATTTATTCAAAAGCAGATAAAATGGATTTGTAGAAAAACATGAATAACATGAATAAGGGCAGAAGCCTGTTAATATTGGATCACCTATAAGTCTTTGGTAAACCATAATACATTTGTCATCACTCATGTTTCAAAGGGTCTGTAAACATGATAAAATGGGAGACATCAGAAATGATCATCCAGGAACAATTTTTTCAAATTCTAAACATGCTTAACTGTAATTTTGAGGCCCTATATAGCTTGCTGTTCGGTGTGAGCCAAGGCTCTGTGTTGAAGACTGTACTTTGACCTATAATGGTTTACTTTTTCAAAATTTTTTACTTGGATGGAAAGTTGTCTCATTGGCAATCATATCACATCTTCTTATAAAATTGAGAATGGAAATGGGGAATGTGTCAAAGAGACAACCCGACCATAGAGCAGACAAGATTTTTTATATCTATTAACTGACCCAATTTTATTGCCAACTGATTGTTTGTTGCTTTTGTATATAAATCAAACTTGGGTTTCTCATCTAAACTTGTTTACATTGTGTTACATCATCCAATATGGCTAGGCCTGTTATAGGTTTTTCATTATCATGATTATGTGGTACTGATTTTGCTCATTGTTGAAGGATGTGTAGTTACTAACAATTACATCACTTGGTCTACCGTTGATGGTTGTCTCATTGAAAATGTCCCCAAGGGTGACTGGGGAATAGAAATATGGTCACTACAGGTCTTCTTCCGACCGGCAGTAGAACCCTTGCCAAAGTGGGGCGTCCGTTTGGCTGTGCGGGATGTACAAGTACGCAGCCACGTCCGGTCAGAATGGGGACGTTAAATCCGATGCCTCGTGTAGAGAGAGTGCCACGCTCTCTGCACGTTAAGAACCCTTGCAACAACTCTTTGAGGGGTCCGTAGGTGACCTGTTGCAAGGCAAAATTGCTGTCCCTATCCAATTTACCCTCATTTTCCAGTGGCAGTCTAAATTTCCCCGACCTTCTTCCCGGACGGCCTACATTACAGGACCTACCTATTGTATTTATTGTTAATTTGTTCTCGTCCTGAATATGCATGAAATATTTGCCACTGGACGTTAAGCAACCAACAATCAATCAATCTCATTGAAAATCATACCACATCTCCTTATTCTGGTTATTGTACATTCATAACATTATACATGTTATACAAGACTACAATATTATCAAATGAATTATAACAATTGTTAATAGTTGTCCGACTTTTGTTAACAAAAAGCAGCTATAATCAACATGGTAGACATGATCAATGGTGATGTAACAAGAGTGACTGCACACGCTGAAATGTCATATCTGCTTTGCCTACATGTAAAATTGAATTCATGTTGAATGTAAAAAATGTAATACATGTATGAAGGTTTTACTACATGTACAAGTATCACATAAATTTTCCATTATCAATTACCTTTGAAAATGAAGTCATGGTTAAATTAACCATGCCAGACAGATGATGTACAACCTACAAACTGACATTCCATACCCAAAATTTAGTGGTTTATAGTATCTGTGAAATAGACTTAACATCCAAACCATGAAAATTAAACATTGCCCAATGATTATGAAACATGAAAATGAGGTCATGGTCAGATTTAAAACCTCCCAATCAAACTTGTACAACTTACGAAAATATCCAATACGCCAAAAATAGTGATCCTATACATGTCATGCATGTACATGTACATGTAGTATATAGCATCTGAGAAACATTGGGAAATAGACCAAACCACAAAAACTAAACATTGTTCAATGAACCATGACATTTTCATTGAGGTCAAAGTCTGATGCAAGTCTTGCAGTCAGATATATTCACCTTACAATCATTTCATACACCAAATATAGTTGACCTACCATTCCTACTGCTTTTAGTATCTGATAAACAAACTTGACAAAGTAACTGAAATAACCTTAATCACTGATCCATGAAATGAAGTCAAGGTCAGG